CATTTTGCATTGCTTAACTATACAGTAATATTTGAATATTATAATCAATGTGAATTACAGCCTGCAAATTGTCTTTTTCATGATTGTGGTAGCTGCAAAAGTGGATATAATTGTAGAAAGCTCAAGTGGAAGCTTTGATCAAATTGCTGTCCAGATGTAAGCTTGTTTCCTTTGACATGCCAACAATAAGCAAAGGAAAAGCAAGTTAGTCTGAGGGCCTCTCTTCCGCGGGTCTGCTCACACTGCTCACTGCTCTGTGTGCACAGGTGGCTCATGAAACCTCTGCTGGTATAGATCTAGTTTAATGTCCAAAGAATAGGAAAACACAGACCACGGAACAAGCATGATCCCGATGGGCATCTTTCAAAACAGGAGTGTATATAGGTTTGAGTCTCGTACATGCTTATCTCACACAGCTCTTATGTTGTGGTGCTGTTGTCATAATCCTTAAAAATCCTTTTTAAACTACCTCTAATAAGCCAATAGCTGAATAGTTCCCAGAGTAAAAAACATATTGCTGCTCATTTCCCTAATTGTATCTTGCATTCAGAAGGCATCCTGCTGATGAAGACACAATAATGTACAATGTTCCATAGTACATATGCTTGAGTCTTATACAATAGGCCCAAAGCAGTGGATGTGACCTAATTCTTAGGAAATCACTGAGCAGCAACTGGTGAAGCTCTCCAAGCACAAATAATTTAGTTTCCTTTTGATTTGAATACTTGGGTATTGAGACCTTATACAAGTTCTAATTGTATTTTGCAGCTTTGGTTCAGCTGTCTAAAGAGAGGAGCCATTCTATAAACCTATCACTGCAGTTCAATGAACAGAGTTCACTGCCGTAGGGTTACATAGCACGAGAGCACCACACTTCTGTGAAGACATGGAAGTGCAGGGACAGAATATGTAAATATGTTTTTTGCATTCATTTTGCTTTTTGTTAAAGTTAATTACTTGTGTTAATTAGAATCCATTCTTATGAGCCCTGAATCATCAATGTCATGCACATCTGCATTGTGTGTGTGTGTGTAGATCATGTAGTCAGCTTCAGGAATGCGTCTCCAGTCTCGGCATGTGTCCAGAAGCCAGATGTGTGCATTACTTATTTAAAATGGCAGTGTTGCACCCTGGGTTTCAATCACTGGTGCAGTGGCAGAGATTGGATGATATTGATCTGCTGGGATCCAAATTGCCACAGCAGAGCAGTGCAGGTTGTCAGACTCTGATCTGAGTTTCAGTCTCTTGCTCTTCTCCCCTCAATTGAGGCCCAAGTGCAAGTGGGATACTTCTACATGCTCCAAAGCCCATGCAGCATCAACACAAAAGCTGTTCAGGATACACGCCCCAAAGAGCAAATATACACCTCTGCATGCAGAGATGCTTTAGTTTAGCGTCGAATGCATGCTCCAGTTTCCTCACAATTTCCAACGGCAGGCCAGCTGGGTTAATGGCTACCCTCCCTCCAGTATATCGCCCATTCCCCCCTCCTTCTGCAGTGAGCTCTGGAATGCGCCAGCCCTCAGCAGGAGCAAGCAGTTTTCTGATCAAGGATGACTGGAAATCTCCCTTCTGCCTCCAGACGGCTGCCAGGTTAGTATCAACCCACTCCAAATGGCAGCATAAAATATCCTGCCTTTATCCACCCACGTGCCAGTACTGGGTTTACTCCTGAAATCCATTTAGGTGGGTTTGATCAAATTCAATTTGTTACTTAGCTCTCAAACTTATGACCTTAAATGCTGTGCAGCCTGTCCTCTACCAAGCAATCTCTCAGAGTCTTCAGGGACCTATCTAAGGGTGCAGAACCAAGTCTTGCTGTGACCACAGGATTTCATTTCACCCCATGTCTTTTACCACTGTCACCGATCAATGATTTAAAAGCCCTTTCCTGTTGGCAGGAAGTCTGCCTGCCTGTAGACGTCTGTCCCAGAAGCCCAGGGAGTAAAGTTCAATCACATTCTTGATGGACGGTGGGCATGCACACACAAACATAGAAACCATTTAGAGGCACAAGTTAGTCTGGGTCTTTGGAAAGTGGGGGAAAACTAGAATGATTGTCAAAAACATGCATAAACACAGTTTGCAAGGATGCAAACATCCTGTCTAGGGCTCAACCCAGGCTGAATCTGAGAGCTGTGAGGAAGCAGCCCGAACTACCCTACCATCATAGTGTGTCAACCCATATCTCACCTACTTAATTGATCTAATTATTGGCTTAGCTGGTCCTGTTATGTCTCTTCTCAGTTCTTTATGTGCCAGAGATGTAAATGAGACCTGATGGGTTATGCCACCCCTGGCCAGGAGTATGTATTTCACTGTTCCCAGGCCTGGTCACAGAGGTGGGGTTGATAGGCTGCAGTCTACAGAATTGTAAGGGATGGACATGTGCATTGTACAGTATGTGCTTGTTCAGGAGATCCTGTTAGCTGCAGAACAGCGGCATCTAGTGGCCATCAGTAAGATGGCCATGTTTTCCATTGCTTTTAAATGACAGATTTGATCAAATAGTAAGAGTAGAGGAGTTTATTGCAGTTTGTACATGTACATTGCTATTCTTTCGGGACGTGCATTGTACAGCAGATGACATACATATAATACATATTTAGTACAGATCACTGAAAGGTATAGTTTAGGTAACTGATAGGTTTAATAAAGATAACTAACTGATAAATCTGATATTAAGAGCTGCTACATTATTGTCTAATGAAAAGTAAATATGCAAGTACAATTTAACTCAAGTGTGAGACAATTATCTTTGCACTGTTTTACATATTTTTTATGCAGTTAACACAGACCTCAAATAATTGGGGAAAAATGCTATAGGTTGCTCAGAACATGTACTGTATTAAGTGATTCACAATCAAATAAGCGAACGAAAACAATTTGTACATTATCTGATGAAACCTCTTCTTATCAGTGTTTGTACACTAAATTCTAACTATAGCAACCAAGATGTACAGTCTCCTCCACTGTTGTCCCTTTCGGTATTCCACTTGATACTGCACTCAATTAAAATACAGTATAATAAATATTTTATACCATCAAGGCCTACATTCATTTTTGCTCAGTAGACCTGCTGAATCTGTGGCACAGTGGTTAGCATTGCTTTCTTGCTTCATTTTTAAGAACTTGATTTTCTTTTCACAAATAATTACAGAAAAGAAATGCCAAATACTGTAAAGTTCCTTTTTGTATTTTGTATTATTTAGACCTAAAACAGTAAACATGCACCCATTCAGAAAAGGTTACAAAAATACATTTGTTCAGGCACATTAGCTCGTGCATTATTTTAAATCACAGCTTCCAAACGCAACACTTGTTGATACTTTTTGACATGAAAATACCATTTTTCCTCACGTGATTTCTCTTTTTATGAGCACAAGGTTGTTATTCTTCACCCTCTGATTTCCACAGATTATCTGTTTCCTCCTTCCATACTCTCCACAGGTCTCTGGAGTGATAGTTGTCTTTAATGCTGGACAGGACCAGGCTACCTGCTCCCCTGACTGGACCTTCGAGGCCTGTGAGCCCTGCCCCTGCCTGCAGACATGCTCTACAGTATGTAATGAGGCCAGTGGTCAGGAGAAGGTCAGGTAAAGTGACCTGCTAACAGTTCTGTAACTGAGCCCAGAAAGCCTGATCAAAATGGCAGGATCACAGGAGATGGCTCACTGTCTCTTCCTCACAGCAGCACAGTTCTCACACAGCGAGGGCTGGGAGTGAGGCCCCTGCAGTACAAGAGTTGGCTGTTGGCTTCTGGGACATCTGGCCCTGGTGCAAGTGTGTGCGAGCCTGTGTCTGTGTGCCCTGTGATGGACTGGTGTCTTGTCCAGGGCGTACCCTGCTTTGTGCCCATTGCTTGCTGGGATAGACTCTGGCTCCCCTGTGACAGTTAGAAAATGGGTGGATGGATTACTTCACCAGGAAAGAGGTTTTGCTCAAACACACAAAAAAATGCTTTACAAAAACAAATGTATTAATTTGGAAGTTTACCTCCTCTGTAGTACTTTGTAGTACAGATAGACAGAAAATGACACAGTTATTGACTTAACATACTATTAAGTGGGTTAATATATGGTAAAAAATGAACAGATGTTATAAAATGGCCAAATGATGAAAGTGTAAAGAAACATGAAAATGTACTGTAAACTTAAAATGCATTTTTCATGCACTTCCATTCATTCCTGTGGGTCAGGACTTATGTTTCTCTTTCTGGGCCCATGTGATATGTGGGACATGACATTCTAATAGTGCTTTCTGCACACATTGTAGTGTTTTCCCACAATGACAGGGACTCTGTGCCCTCTCTCCCTCACTCCATTTCTCACCGAACCCCAGTCACCACTGCCCTTCTTTAGATAGGATTTAGGACTCGCAGTTTGGGAACAATTTCGAAATTACCGTTCGCACATTTGGGGGTCTAGATCGCCAGTTTTGGGAACGATTTCTTTCCGCAGGAAAAAACTAATGTTTAGCTTGACATAACTCATGATTGCTTTTATATTTTAATGCCGAGATTTATGTTCCATTATCTTGCAAGAACGTCAGACATTCCCGCTTCGAGTAAAAGCAATCATAAGTGATTAATTGTTTTACAGAGTAATATAGTAATACAGAGTAATAGAGTTTGAATAATTGTGCTAGGGGTTTCTAATTAATCATTAACGGAGGACAGTAACATACTCATTACAGAGTACGAGAAGCGGTTTTTGTTTTACATTTTTTTCTCTGTAATGCTCTGACGCTCTGCACACAAACTGTAGGAAACGTATTCAGAGTCTAGCCATTTTCTTTAATTGCTTTCGCCACATACAGTACTTTGCAATATCAAGAGGGAGTGTCACCCACTTCTAACTTCAAAGACTGTAGCACGTACTGTACTGTTTCAGCGGACGTCCGTCTCGGTCATGCCTGACAGCGCAAAAACCGCACAGCACCCCAAACAAAAAACCTGTTGTACCAACATTCACGCCCCTGGAGGCAAATTATTTGTTCACCTTTGAGATCCCAGGGGAGATTCCATCTTCATAATGAGCTCCAGCTCCACGGTGCCTCCAGTCATTTTTACCTGCTGCCTGATGTCAGAGGTTTCTTATTGCGTAGAAATGCTGCGGTGTGATCCCACTGGGAGCCCAGCGTCATTGAGTCCGCAGTGAAGCCTGTTCAGCGCAGCATTACGGTCCGTTCTTGCCCTGGTGAAAGAGAACATCAGCTTGAACACTACGAAACTGGTCCACACACGTTGCTTTGAGAACAGGTGATCCTTCTCCGTACCTCGCAAACCAACCCCACGTCAGGTGCACAGGACACAAGGCTTTATTAGGTGCACCATTGCTATTCCCTGGCACGAAGGACTCTCTGATCCTTCGCTTGTCAAACAGACTCAGGTTCGGAGTATCCCCTAGGCACAGGCTGAATCACGTTCCCCGCTGACTTTTACACCACTTTACATGACCTGAAGTCTTCTGATGGAATGGCTGTATTCCGTAATGGCAACTCTCGCACTGCAGAACCCCGTACATCAAGAAAAAGAGTGGTGTTCAGAAAGCGAGCTCCAATGCAGACAACTTCTTTACCTCTCGGCAGTATTATAATGAGACATGACATATTTTAAATCAAAATTAATCTTCCAGTTGGTATTTACACACAACTGTTCCCCATGGGTGACCTGTAATTATTTGTTTTCACTTACTGACATTGAAATATATTGTTTTATGCTAAAGAGCGTAGCTGGAGGACCGGTGTGTATGGGTCATTGCTCAGTGTACCTCATCAAAGTATTTATGAGTTGAAAGCAACAAGCTATTCATTTATCAGTGTTCAGTAAGCTTAGAAAACACGGAATTTCGCTAAGAAGTGTAGCTTAACTGAAAAAAGTATGAAAGATGGGCTGTTATCACTTCTGTCTCGAGTGTACAGTATGTATATATTTGTATGCGTATGCATATCCATATGCATTTATATACTGTACAGCTACTGTACATGATCTTCAAAAATTTGAAAGGGCATTTGTAGAAGCACAATTGCCTGTCAAAAAAAGTCGACCTGGGTATACTTATTTTTAAAAAAATCTTGATTTATTTTGTAGTTAACATCAGAATAATTAATTCGGGAATTATTCCTGTTTGTTTCCCTTTATGTAATAAACCAATTTAACACGGGAGACGTCTCCTCCTTTTACTAAATTGTTCATCATGAATTAAACTTCGTTCAACCCAGTTAAAAAGTTAAAAGATTTCTAGTGCACACTTCAACATAGCGGGGGGCGAGAAGGTTAGTGTATACAATACGTGGGTGTTCAACTCCATCCAGTGGAGAGAATCTGAGATCTCAGCGCGGTGGCGCTGTTACAGAAGGGTTTTGTGTCTTTACTGATTGCAGATTAAACAGTGCCAAGTGGAAAAGCGCAAGACCTGCAAACACAGTACGTCAGATAACAGCGTTGTCTAGTAGAGGATGAACTGTCTTAGTGCTGTATTTAGTAGACGCATCTAAAGGAAAGCCAGGCGATTGTGGAGCGTTAGAGCCCTCGCAGCTGGGAGAGCACCCTGTGACGGCAGGACTATATATTTATTAATAGGCGTAGCTATAATTTACAGGAAAACGGGAGAGAGAAATCATTCCAGTAACGACAGACGTTACCGTTTGCGCTTCTGAGATGGAGGAGGAGAGGCAGACGGAGACAGACAGCCCGGTGAAGAGGAGCTCACATCGTGATGGTACGACTGAACCAGCTCCTATCCGGGCCACAGCCCGGGGAACCTACACTGAGGCAACCAGTCATCCGCTGGGGGAAGACTACGCAGTTCATCTGACGCAGAAAAACAGCAAAGAGGTCAGCAAATATAAAAAATCAGTAAGCGGTATATGAATTTAGCAGACTCAAAGATAAGTCACGCAACCATTTCTTATGTTTTGTGACGATTAAAAGAGCTACAGTATTTAAACTTTAGCCACAATATGCTGCGCGTCAATTGTAAGACTAGCAAAGATTCAGTGTTTATTTGGACTTTCGGGTATTTCATCATTTTGACAAACTGAAATGACGGCATAATTGCTGGCTATGACGACCTAGTGTAGGTGACGTTATAAACCTGCTGTACTTCTGTATAACCATAGTAAACAGACAGTGAAATTAATACAAAAAAATGCACTACTGCTAATGTCAGGTATTGACGGAATTCGGAAGATTCTTATGTCACAATGATGTCGTTGGCTGAATCAAAATGCTTCATAATTGCATTTTTTATTTTTAGACGCATTAATTCGATACCACACTAAATGTCAGACTAAACTTTTGGCAGGGTATATCAACACATTCAAATAAGGCGTTAGAGCCATCAAGGCGATTTGGGTCGTGGACTATTTTTGATAGATCATTCTTTCACAGTTTTGCACTGATGTCAATTAATTCTCAGCAGCGTGAAAATGTGTTTTGCTCCAGTTGCGTCAGTGTGGCGGTGGTATTTGGTGGTGGAGCACCCAAATACATCATCGCAGCACAGTAGTCAGCTGAGTTCAAACATGGGTTGGAGCTCCTCAAAGTCAGTCTAGGGTTTGGGTGCTGATGTGATTAAGATTGCCTGTCTTGAGAACTTAATAATTTTGGATCCATACTTCAAGACAGATATGCAGTAAGGTGATCATTGAGGCTAGTATTTCCCAAGGTGAACATTTTGAAACATATCTGTAAGTCAAGGCTCTGTGTGACACAAGTATCTTAAATCCTCAGTGCAAAAGATCGGAACCAACAAGAGTATTCAAGTTGTCAGCTCAGAGTATTTGTCAGTGAGCACCCAATGCAATTTCAAGCCTGTCTCTACAGGTGGCAGGTCTTGCTTTCCTGACTATGATTCAGTATCAAGGATGCGTTTATACTGGAGAAACCCCAGGGATCTCCAGCTCCCAGTTTGTTCTGTAGACAACCATGAGCAAGCGAGATCACAGAAGCCACTTCTGAGAATTGAAGCAGACACTGACTGCATGGCACAAGAATATAATATCATGACAGAAAAATATCATTGGTCAATTTTGTGAAATACTAATTGGTTTGTTGCAATAATAAACCAGCGAGACATCAGGAAGCCGATTTTCATCACATCTGCTCTGGTTTGTGTTGTAGTGTGAGCATGATGCCAAGAGCTTTTCTCTGGCACTGTAAATAGCCATGTCTGATTCTGTGCATTTTCATATTGTTTAGAATACCCTGCATTGATATTATTAGTGTTTCATTTGATTTAGAATTTAGAATGATATTATTTAAACTAGATCCAAAAAATGAAGAATATGAACTAACCATAATTTACTCTTTAAATTGATAAATACAAACTCTGTAGACTGGTTTCATTTAATTGTTTTAATTACTTTCATGTCAGAGCACGTTAATTCCAAAGCAAACTGAAACGTGGTCATTTAAAGTGCTTCTGCTTTCTCACATTAATGCATTTTTGCATGTCCTTTCGAAGGTGTTAGCATTTCAAGAGAGTATAGAAGAAATGCTTATACGACTGGATGAATTCTGTGGAATGCTGGATATGGTAGGTAACCTTTGTTTTAAACTATGCTCAATGCACTATTAAGTTATATCTTAATAATATCAAAACTGTGTACAGCAAATTTAATCTAAGGTTCCACACTTGTTCTGATGCTACATAAAAGTAATGCAATATACGGTTTATGCATTCTAGAGCAAAATTGTGAAAAATTAATAGAGATGTATAGAGAAAATTTCCATGTCCATGTCAATCTCTACACTTCAAAATTGCTGTGAAATTAGGTGTGTGTTGTACTGTATATGTGTACACAGTACAAAAAAACGCTTTCCAGTTTGTTTTACTCCACCACAAAACACAACGGATGCAACAAATGTTGCTGTGGAAATTGTATATTATACTTCTGTTGTTGCATGTTACCTAGCCATGTGATTAATAGACATACCCAGGCTTCTTTCAAGAAATGTTATTCTTGCATTAACTTCTAACAGTCAGTCTAGCTAGATGGGCTGAGTGGTTAGCATACTTTCTTCTATGTGTGACAGGCAAAGTGTTTTAGTAGAAACACAAGGGGAGGTTTTGTGCTACTGTTGATGCTCATAACACATATTTTGTAGCTCTGAATTGTGTTTAAGATGCATTGCAGTGCAATTATGATGGGAAATGTGCATGAAAAAGAGAAAACAAGGGGAAGAATTGATAAGGATATGAATGCGATGATACAAAAAGTTAATTTATCTTAGGGAGACCAAGATAAATGAGTGCTAAATGAGCTAAATGAGTTAAGCAAAGGCATATTCAAGCAAACTGACTTTATGAACCTTTCAGTGCAATGTAACTCAGTCACAGCCTTTGTATCCACTCAAAATAATGGAATATTATTGAATATTACTTTTTTTCTGGACGTAATTATGCTCAGTTCTGTTTCAGTTTAAGGAGCACTTTTAATTAAGCCATCATGAACCAATGTTGATCACAGCTGTAAAGTTTCATGGACTTTAATAATTCCAGCTGAATCTCAGCAAGAGCTAAATTGTTTGTCTTCTTCCATTTAGATTCGAAGTGATTCCACAGAACTGCTTGCTCAGCATATTCCCTGTTTGAGAGTGCAGGTTGAAGAAATGAAGAATGTTTACACTAAAATCGACAAGATAGAGGTACTGTTAAAAGAGGAATGAAAACCTGTTCTCTTCACTTAGAATCAGCATCATCTACAACTGGCATTGGATTACTAGTTTCAGATTAATAACAAAAAATACATTGATAATTCTGCATAAAAAACACAATATTATTGTTGTTTAGTGTTGTGTTATATATATAACACAATTAAATTCAAATATGTATTTAAAAAACATCAGTTTATAAAGTGTCTAACAAGAAGTTGCTGTAATTGTTTTTCTATCATGTATATCATCATATTGTATGTCTGAATGCATATCATAGAGAATGGCTAAACAGAGAAAATGTTGAACAGATTGAAACTCTGGGCTCTGTAAAAAAAAATCAGAGTAGCAACAGTTATCCACTTGTACAGAAGAAGGGAGGTTCTTTTTTAAAGCAATGCCTGACTATGTCAGTCGTGTAAATTAAGTGTCATGTGAGACCTCATCAACAGCAGATGATGATCAATCATAAATCACAAACAGCAGCTTATTCCACTAATTGGGAGGACAGGAACTCACTCTTCCTTTGGATTTCTGTTAATGGTTCGGACAGACAGAGTACCGTAGTCAGCTGCACAGGTGTACCTTCTTAGGACTTTCATTAATTTCTTGATGAGCATAACTGCTACTGCTACTGCTACTAAACTTTTATTTTATATAGCACCTTTAAAAGTACCATCTCAGATTTGCACCTCATTTTTCAGTAGGTGCAAAAAATAATGATAAGGATAGCCAATTCATTAGAGAGTGAAGCAGACACAGACACTCACTGGATAAAAGGCTGACTTCTGAGAGAAGAATCAGGGGTCCAGCTGTCTCAGCAGTCCCTGTGGTGACTGTCCTTCAGGCCTTTGTGGGCATGGTGGCGGGGAGCGTGGCCATGCTGGAGATGCAGGTGCTGGAGGTGGAGAGAGGCCAGAGCTGCTTCCCCCAGACGGTGCACAAGGTGCTGCAGACCTTCAGAAGCCCTGGAGTCTCCCAGGTCCGTCCCCTCCGCCGAGCGCACATACCACACGAGCGTCTCCAGGGTCACCTTCGCGGAGCTCAGCGGTCCCTGTGGTACTGCTCTCATCACATCGCCCCAGTCTTTACTCAGAGCATTCGCCTCGTACCTCTACTCAGTGTTTCCCCATGACCAAAACCATTTCAGTCCAAAACCAGGCATCACCTCAAATACCCGTTACCTGTTTAAGAATTCAGTTTGATGAGGACCATCAGCTCTTGCTTGTTGAAATTCTAAATATACCTTGTCAGCTTTTATCTGTCACTTCTGCAGTTTGTTCAAAGAGCTCTAATACATTATTTAAGCACTACCTGCCTTTTTTCACCATACTTTATAATACTATTGCTATGTACCTGTGCTGTATATATCTATTCTGATTGTTGTTTTCATAACTTTACATGGAATAGATGTAAGAGCTGTTAGCTTACTTCTGAATCAATTGCTTGGTTCAGTTTCATGGTCTTTTTTTATTGATAGGTGCATTACTTTAGCACTTTTCCAGGCAGGGTATTAACCCTGTGTCCATTGACTACTGGATCACTTTTGTGGACAGTTTTTGAACTTTGCCTCAGTCTGAGGCACATTGTAAATTTAATTCTTGGTAAACATCTTAGTGACATTGTCATATGGTACGTCATCCATTTTCCTTTCGTCGTCTCAAGTTTCTACACAATTCCCATCATTATCTCGGCTGCATTTCATCTTTAACTGTCCCGTTTAACTTGTTATGCGTTTTAGCCTCCATCTTTTTTAGCACTTGAAATGGGAGCTCTCCGGTCAAGCCTCATTCACACAGAGCTTTCAGCTGCGTTTTTACGCAGGATTCTGAGTGGAAGCAGCATGGAAATGTATTTTCTGTTCAGGGGCAAATTGTTTATTAGCTGCATCACGATTAATCGATATGAATTCAACATCAAACTGCACTCTCTCGCTCCTTCACACACGGTATTTTCAGAAGTTCAGCAATCACAAAAATGGGAGAATTTCAGTGAAATGCCTAAATAAGTTGAACTATAGGATTCTGAAAATGAATGCCATGGACATTGTCATCTGGCCACCCTTCTTCACTGATTGTTTTATCCTTGAGGCTTGTGGTGCCAGCCAGCCGCTAGGGGGAGTACAGCCTGGGCCGAACAGGGCACACTCACAATTACAGGAGCCCAATGTATTTGGCCCGTGGTAGCGAACTGGAGCAATTACAGAAAACCCACACTGGCAACATGCAGACACCACACAGAAGGCATCTCAGGCCGCAGTCAATCCCAGGGCCCAAATGTGCTGCCCATGTAGACAACATTAAAACAGTGTTTTCATATCTAAAAATCAGCAGTTCACAGGTATAATGATTGAGTAGTCCGTTTATAAGAGTTTCTTGATATTTCTGAGGGCTGCCTTTGTAATTTACTATACAGAGAGACCCACTAGAGGGGGGGTTTACTTAATATTCAGTTCTTAAAACCAAACAAAGACCAAGTATGAAACCAGTACAGTATTAACTGTAAGTATAAGTATTAGCTAAGAAGGTAAAAGGTGCTTACTTAATCAGCCGGATAGCAAGATCAATTGATTGATTGATCAATTGGATTGCCATACCATGGCAATGACATGATTGAAAACACCTACGAGCTCAGGGTCAAAATATTATCCATTTCATTTTCAATGTGCAAAATCCAAAATGTTGAATTATTCATGAAGTTCTTCTTGTCGATTTAGTTACCCGCATAAGATTATACCAGGAGTAGGCATCCCTGGTCGCGGAGTACAGGATTCCTGCACGTTTTAGATCCCTATTTCACAGAGCACCTGATCGTGAGCTAGGAAACCCATCTGATGGGTCTTCTTATCCTCTCGAGTGGTCCAGTGTACAGTAGTCTTTAATGTCTGAAATGGAAGAAGACCAGAGGAAACGTGGCCCTTTGCTCTGCTCGAGCGACTTTCAAATTCAGGGCCGCAGTCCCCAGACACGATCTTTAACATGACCTGTGCTGTGTCTGCTGCTTGCTCTCCACCATCCTACAGAGACAGGAACAGCCCGTAGTACCTTTCTGCTCATTTCAGTCGGTCTTTGTTTCGGTTCAGGAGACATTCATTGCTTTCTCATGTCATGTAGAGTTATGTGCTTTTTGTCCATTGAAATAATTTATCGAGTGATAAAAATTTAATTGGGGAAAAAAAACCTGTCTGGTCTGCACTATAATATAAATGCCAGTGCGTTTGTCATTGACCCGCACGCTGGAACTGTGGTATAACCAACCTGATCCAACCAGCAGTCCTCAAATCTGAAACAACTATATTTTCCACTCCTGGGAATGTGTCTGCAGTTTTCTCAACTGGTAAAATATAAAAGTCATGCAGGATGAACTCATCTGATCAGCTGTTGATGCTCCATCCTATGCTGTCTCTGTGTAGAGACATAAAATAGCCACAATGATCTCTTTGAATATTTGATCTTAAACACTAGTTAGAGTTCTGTGTATTTTCTCTGTTATATGCCCCTTCGTTGTTTTAAAATCCTAATTGTAATATAAACGGAAGATATTTTCTATTACATCTAGAGCTTTGAACGTGTGAAATGTAATTGGTAGGCTCGGTAGAAGTACGACAATGCTGTTGAAGCTCAGAAAGAGCTGTTCTGTGCGAAGGCTGTGTCGTATTCCTATCAGTTTTAAACAAACACAGCCACTCTTAGTCGCGGATATCGGAAAGTGTGTAGGGTGAGAGTACAGGCCAGGGTCTGCTCTGTTTAACGCTCCCAGCAAACTGTGCTCTGTGCCACTGGGAGGTGTCTGGCTGTGGCGTCTGCAGGCCTCCAGGGGGCGCCAGTGGTGCCGAAACTCGGCCACGACAGCCACTGCGGTCTCCCAGCTTGCTCTCCCTCCCCCACCCTGGCAGGAGACAGCCTGACGCCCCTGGTGAGCAGTGGCGGTATGGACCAGGCCTGCCTCCCTTCGAGAGGAGAGGCCTCCCTGCAGCTCCAGCCTCAGCTCTGTAGAAATGGCGGAGTTGTGCAGCGCAGCTGTGGGGACCACAGGCCTGCGAGCTGCCAGCCTGCACAGCCGATCAGGCACGGAGCAGAGAGAAACGCTCATTGAAAACAATTCAGAGTCTCTTACCTCTGAAGAAAGAAAACTGTTTTTTCTGTTTTTTTAACCAGGGCAGGCATTTCTAGTGCCCCACTAGCTTAGCGTTCCTAGCATCTGGAAGCTACTTGGAACTGAAGGACAGTGAATTTGTGCTTGTACTTACCCAGATAGACTGGTCCAACAGGGTTACTTGTCTGCTTTGGCTTATCAGCCAGTTTCCATCAGATATATGTGGTTTAGTTATGTGTCCTTGACGCTCGCTGGATTTATTTACAGGAAGAAAATAGTAGAGAAAGCATTGCAGTCATTGCAAATAAAAAGTGGGCAAATTAACGAGTGCATCAGTCCCTGACGACCTTGGAGCTACAACATGATTGATTCGTTTTTATTTTACATTTGAGAATTCCCAATAAATATGAAACAAAAAACATTACTCAAATTTGATGATATAAACCCAAGGAGCTATTTCTATCCTTAATTATTTTGTACACTATTCTTCAAGCATGTCTATTTTATTTGAGGCGTATATAAACAAAGTCATAATTATGTACAAACAATAATTTAAACGAAAAATAAGGCCAACAGAAGCTGGAAATGCACTAAACTAAACAAAATAGTAAGATTTGAAATACAATACAGACAGTCTGGGCAGAAGGCAGCGCAGAGAAGAGGCTGGTGGCCAGTATTGCATGTTCAAAAGGTATCATGGACTATGGGCAGTTTGTTCACCCAGGAATGAGGGTGGAGAATGAGCAGGTTGGGAGAGGGTTAAAGAGGGGCTGGTGAAAGAAAAGGAGAGGAAAATATGTGAGGATCAGCGTGGGAGAACAAACTGAAGATAGGCAAGAGCACAGGCTCCAGTATTTATGCTTATATTGATTGCAATTGATGGCCTGGTAGAGATTATATAAATAGGAATTCATTCTCAATGATTAATGATGACCAGCGGTTGTTCTTAGCAATAATTGTCAAGAGTAAGAAAAGCCCAGACTCTACCATCTTTGTTTCTTGAGCTGTTATAACTCTCCAAGACAGGAAAAGCTATAAAACAACTTAGTGCACAAGAAGACAAATGAGAAGAAGCCCTTCAGCCTCTCTGTCTTGTTTGGTAGGTAGGAGCTAATTGATGCAGGGATCTCATCCAGCTGGTTTTTGAAAGAAAGTTGGGTGTCTTTCTTGAACAACATACCTGGACAGCTTGTTCCACACCCCCACAACCCTTTGTGTAAAGGAGTCCCTCCTGTCCTCTTTCCACCTTCAGGGCCCATCACGAACATTTGAAATATTCTTTTTTACTGCTGAGGCCATTCTGTATCTACAGCAATTAAAATTACTATTCTGTGCCCCAAAAAACCAAACTATTGGTTTGAGTGCGTCCACCCATTCAAACGATAAAAAAACATTTTAGAAAATCTATACACTTAATCGTACAACAAGTTCTTTACCCATTTTACTATTTTGAGTTTTACTCTTTCTTTATTGATATGCCCTTTTCCAATGAGGCTTTTAACTTGTTTGCTGTCACAGTATGTTAAAATCAAAATGAAGTAGATTTCACTCAGCAATGCATAAACATATGTTGTCTTTGCATATATCGCAAAATTAAGACAAAATTCAACAAAAAAATGAGTACGCAAAAAAGGTTATGTTTCTGGTTTCAAGGTGATGTGATAAACCCTAACCAGTTCAAAGTAGAGACAAAGTAGAGTTAGGTTATCTAGTCATCAGCTAATCAAACAGTATACTCCACCCTGACTAGCAAATACTATTTCCCTTTTTGTTATCCCAGGAATAATTTCTGAAAGTGGAAAACAAGGCGGTGGAAACATCAGGTTAGTGACGCGTGATTTTTTTAGAAAAGGCTTTTTTAACCAATGAATTCATTAATTGGAATGGAAGGCCTGCCCATGTTGTGGAGGTTACCACGGTGACATGATCATTTAGTATTTAGAAACGAGCCATCCAGTTCGGTGTGGCAGGGGAGCCAGAGCCGAGTCCTGGAGCAAGGTCTGTCAGGCAACACGGAGTGATATATACCTGGATGAACATTTTGTAAGTCCCTCACGCCTATAAAATGTTAATATCATGAATGCTATTCAGTATCTGGTTCTAGAGTTAATTCCAGCTGAGCTAAGCGCAAGAGAAAAAACCCATTCAACACCACCAGAAGAATCCACTGCTGTGTGTTGACTGCTGACCCTTTCCTGGAGTAAGGTCATGGATCAAGGGTGTGATGTAAGTGACCTGCAGTGATGTTCTCACACAGTTCTTGCTGGAATGACCTCCACAGTTTATTTCCAAACCGGCATTGAATTGCCTAAAAATCCCCCGCCTCTCCTCTTGCAAAAATAACCTAAAGGCTTCTGTAGAAATGTCCCAGTTCTCCTAGATTTCAATAGGGAATTGGAACACTTTCATAGAGACCTATAGATCTAGTATTTTGTTTTGGGGGGAAGGATGAAGGCGTCATTGCTATATCACAGCTGTTACCAGAACCACTACCTTTTGAAAATCACCCCTAAATTGGTTATTTGGTATAGTTACTGCAGGAAATCAAAGGCATTTGCCCACGGATATGCAGCACGCACCAACCCAGAACTGCAGGCGTGTGTAATGTTAGAGGTGAGGCCCCAGCCTGGCTGAGGAACGTGCTGGCCTCCTGCCCCTCCCCCCTCTCTTGCGCTGCATGCCCTGCTCTGGCGCGATCGTCCCAGAGGTGCACTCTGGGAATTTCAACGGGCTGCCTCCTTCTCCGCAGTGCCTGCTGCTCTCAGCTCGGGTGAGAGCTTTCAGCGTTGGATCGAGTCTTCTGGGGGATGGGTAACGGTGTCTCTGGAAAAATCTGGGGCCGGCTTTGTGCAAAGGAAGAAAACGTGGAAGTTCATCAGAACAAACAGAATACACACTCTGGGGTGTATGAATAATTTAAATTAAAAATGCAACCGTTTTAGCTTCTTTACTTCATCTGTGGAAGCGATTTAAGCTTCAGATGTGTATTGATGCTTGGGCAAAAATTGAAATGAAGTTGAAATTCTAAAAAAATCTAAAAATAAATGACCTGTTCAATCCAATATCAGTTTAATTACCAATTAATTATTCATCTTTCAGCCGGCGGCTAAAAATTAGTGTAAAAGACAACATTTTCTCTTTATTGCTTGTCTCAATGTTGTCTTATACATATTCATGATATTTGCAAGAACAAATCAAGAATCAGCTCTCACAAGCTAAAACAAGGTGGAGCCTGGCCAGTGTACTGAGATGGTGGTCCACAGAGGAAAAAAACCACAGGTTTTGGCAGCAAGTGCTGTTAGTGAACCAGTAGCTGACACTCTCTGGTGTAGAATGTGGGGTCAGATTCACAACTGAAGCTGCTGTCTCGCACAAGTTGTCGCCAAAGCTGTACAGCCCAAGGGAACGTCATTGTGACACAAAGCAGTCGTACGCTCTTGGCACAATGCAGGCCAGTGTAGAATAGACTCTCCAGGCCACGGAAGAGCTGTGTCCCCTACCAGTGTTGCAGTGCTTTGTGCCTCCAGGCAAGGCTACAGAACGGCAGAGGGACTCATCGTGTTGTAGTGTCTGCTACACTCACAGATGAAGCTGTCAGGGAAAAGCTGACCTAAAAAAATTAAATTGACCTCAGAAGGAAATGCAATCAAAAGTAATTTTGAAATCCTGTAATTAAAGCAGGCGCTTGAAGATTTGAATTGTAGGAGCCTTTTTTTGCTTGCCAATGCTTACTGTAATTGTTGCTTGAAGCAATGCAGCAGAGGCACATGACTGTGAGCTGTGAAGAGTCTGGGAGTCTGAGAAAGGGGATCAGATTAATAAGAAAGAACAAATGAGACTGATAGAAACGAGGGGAAGTCATTCTAATCTTGCTCAATGGATGGCTACTAGCATCCAAGCAAGTTTGTCCAGTCTTGAAGAATACTCCAGATCTGTAAATACTGTATTTATACATTTGTGTGCATACTGTATATGCTATACAATATATATTTGAGGTGTAAATACTGCAGAGCACTTTAAAAGTGTGGCTTTATATGCTGCTAGCATAAAACCATTTTGCAGCAGCTATGAAGTCGCCATGGATTACATGAAGCTGCCAACAATACATCAGCGTTTTTAATAAGTTATTGGTCTCAAAAGAGGAGAGCAGAGAACAGATGCACAAAGTCACGGAGGTGTTGCCTGACACTAACACTGGAAGCACTGCAGTTGGCCATCTCACCACAAGAGCGCATGCATTTGTGAGGTGTAGTCATCACAAGCTACAAGACCTCTCCTTGAGTAATCCAGCCTCACCTTTTTTTTTAATGCTGCTGCTCAGATGGAGGCTGTAGTCCCTCAGTTCAGTTGCAGTTGCCACTGACGACAACGACAGTGTGTTGCTGCTTTTGTTTGTTCATCGCAAAACAGAAGATCCGCAGAAGGTGACTTCAGGACCGACTGCATCGACTTTGTAGCGTGCTAACCTCTGCCCACTTTCTTGTCTTTAAAACCTTCAGAGTACAGAAGAGACTATAATGTCTTAACCCAGTGGTTTCCAGTCCTGGTCCTGGTTTCCCACACACCTGCTAGGTTTCATTCTATCCCACCTTCATTAGATAATTGAAGCCTAACTTGACCAAAGAAGGTGCTTCACCTGAATATTTACATTTTGCTTCCAGTCGCAAGTGTAGAATTTAATTTCACTTATGAAATACAATGGTTAAATCTCCAACATGTTTAAGAGCTGAGCACAAATAGTGCAAATTAATCTTAATTAATTATAATAAAGTTAATGAGGGGTTTGACTGTATAACTGAGGGCTCAGCTGGAACAAAACCCAATAGGTGTGTCTGGCACCAGGAGCAGGATTGGAAAGCACTGTAACCTGTTTGACAGAATGTTTTAATTCAATTCTGAACAGTCAGAGACCAAATACTGTCTTGCAATCCCCTTATGGATGTCATTTTTAGAAAATATGGACAAGGCTGCAATCATATTGCATTAAGTTGTCAATGTTCTTATGATGTTTTTAAACGTGTCCTTTAAATTGGTTCATTTTTTTTGTTTTAAAATTGTAATTGAAAAGCGTCTGTGACTGCCTTGAACAGTTTATGGAAATACAGAAACCGAACTGAGCCCTGAAAGGTGTATTTTTACTAACCTTGTACTTGCAGATCTGGAGCCCTGAGTAACCAGCAGCGTTCACTTTGATGTCTGTAAATTGACTCTACAGGACACTTAAGCTTTTGATAAGAAAAAATAAACCGTATACTGGAAGAAAGATAAATCAAGAATGTGACAAAATGACTTTGAAAGACAACTTGGTGACCAGAATCCACTCCATGTGCATTAGGGGTGTTGTTGACCGAATAGAATATAAAATGGACCACGGCGAAATCAGATAGCTCCATACCTTGCCATAACATTGAAGTTTTTATAATTTGGATTTTAAAACAATTTCTGTTAAATATTTTGAGTGAACCTTGTGTGATGTATCTCTTTGGAAGTGTGTATCCTGCTTTCAAGCAATGCAATGCTTTTTTTAGCACATCAGAAATGTTATGTTTCTAATGAGCTAGTATGGACATCGAACCCCCCTTTTTTTTAACGTGGAGACCACTGAGCTTGTCACTCAAAATGCTACAGTATGAAAGGAAATCACTTGTTTCTCAAACTAGTTGTATCACAATTTACATTGTGACCCCCAACACAATAACAGCTGTTCCATTGTTTTGCAGATTCAGACCAAAACCCATAGATTCCTGTAGAATATGGAGATCTATACCGACATTGACCACTGTTGTTTGTCTCATGACTTTAATTAGTCCTGAAACTGACAACTTAATGTAGAAATATATCACTGCAGCAACCGACAGTGTTACTTCCTGCACATTTAATTTACAAATATCTGAGTCATGTGTCTCATTACCTCTCAGATATTAAAATAGAAGAACTTGAAACTTTCCCATTTAAAAGTAGTAGACTTGAATTTATTAAAAAAACAGAAAACACATTGCATACTCCAGTTTCTTTAATTTTAACCAAAAAAAGCAGTAGTGAAATATCTTTATGCCAATTTAACAACTTTTGTTTTATTCTTTTTCCAGAAAGATGGGTCAGAAACAGAGTACCCCTATGAGCTACCATCCCTGTTCAGGACTGAGGAATATTTTGCTAAAACCACCAGAAGGACCCTTTTCAAGAAGTCAAGCAGCTGATGTCTGTAGAAAAAAAAATCTTCCATAAACAATAATCCCATTATGTGTGCATATGTTTTCCTTGAGCAAGTATCTTAGCTGTACTGATAGAGACTTTTTAAATGGTTTGTTTTTTGTTTGGAAATATGACCTTTGGCGGAGAGTCAGATGTGCCACTCCGAGAATATTACTGTACCTAACAGGAGTTCAAGTTCCTTCACAGACCATGAGCTCTGCCTGGTCAGTGACCCAAATCGCACACATGCATCCGACAAAATAATTTGTCAAAATATTCTGGGCAAAAAAAAATGAAACACTGAAGCCAGGTTAAGATTACACAGCACTTACAGTACCTAAGGCATGGTGGTATTGTATGCAAACCAAAAAAAACAGACATGTTTTCAGAATAAATTCACAAAACATCTCTCACGGCAGGATAAATACATCTTCCGTAGGAGAATGGCAAAGTAGAGGAATTCCGGTTTCATAAGAGTGAAGAGGCAGAGTTTGGTTTATTTGCTTCTCTTGTTTATTCATTGCAGTGTGTCTAGAACAGACCATGTGCCTGGAGTGTTCCTGTGCCGTCCTTTGGGTTCTATTCAAGTAAATGTACTGAACTCATAATCAAACCAACTGCATTTTAACCATCTGACAAGTCCACCCATCCCTTTTCTAACCACTCTGTCCAATAGTGTCGTGAGGAAGCTGGACCCTATCCCAGCCAGCAAGAGGCAGTATAAACCCTGGGTGGGACACCAGTCTATCGCAGGGCACGCACGCACACACGCACGCACATGCTCACACCAGGGTCAGTCTTCCTAGGGCCAATTACCTACCACTAGGTTTTGGGATTGTGGGAGGGAAAACTGGAGCTTCCAAAGGAAATCCATGCAAACATGGAACAAGGAGAACATGCCAACTCCATGCAGACAAGATGGTTAGCACTGCTGCCTTGCAGAGCTATGGCCCTGGGTTCAGTATTCCAGGATAGCCCATGCAGTGCAGGTAATAGGTAATGCACTTCAGAAATTTTAGGATAATTTGGTGTATCTTGCTTAAGCCATTACTTCTGTGTACAAGGCCAATAAAATCACTGATTTACACTGCCTAAAAAACTGTCGCTTTTGTCAATTTTTACTTGCCCCGTTTCAAAAGAGTGATATTAATCTTCATATCTAAAAATGCTATCAAAACTCAACAGACACTCCTTGAAAATTGGTTTTCCAATAAACCTGCCCAAAATGACCACCGGTTTCCTTTTAGTACAGGAAATTGTGAAGATAAAGGATTGACATCTTCCATTTAGAAACAAAAAAGCCTGAAAGAGAATGTTAAAACTATTGATAAAAAAAACTCATAGAGCTGAAACTTCATAAATAAATGAGTGAATTTAAGTTTACAGCTGGCCATAAAGAATGATTCAGTCCTGCAAGTGTTTTTTGAATTTTTCTTGCATCCAACGCTCTATTACAGAGGCTGGTTACAAGTATTACAATCACAAGTATTACTTTTAATAAAGCAGTAACATAGAATTATACTCTATATAAGAAAATAACTAGGTTGACTACTCAAGTCATAACAAAAGCCACAGGACATTAGGGTTTCCAGGAACTGAAGTCCAGAGGACCACAGCTGTTTTGATGACCACCAGTTACAAAGAGTTTTTGAGGATGCTTTTTCGTTAACGTAGTGTCCTTTCACAGAAAGCTCTAAATTTTTTTTTCTAGAAGGGGGAGTGTGGGTTGAGGCCAATCTATTCCGAATGCAGGGCATTCTTTTCATTTCCAAGTTCACTAGTTCAAAACTCCCTGACCTTGTCAGATTGTTCATTCATTTTCAAAATGTGTTCAAAATTGCCAGGGATGGTCACTGATTAAATTACACCTTGAAGGATCAGTCATGCAAGGAAGGTTAAAGACAAAACAAGCTGTCATTTTAAAATGCAGTTTTTTTCCCCCTTCAACCGATCACATTCGTGCATGATAACATTATAGCATACTTCATAGGTCTCCTAAAAACACCCTTTAGACTGGGGGGAAATCTTACAGGAGTTTAAGTGAACATATCCAGTCACCAAAATGATTTATGGATTATATACAGAATTACTGTGAAAGTCCAAAGCCACTCAGGTATTCTGACTCCAACCTTTAAAGAACACGTACACATCTACACAAAAGCACACAGGTGTGCAGTTTTGGTTTCTGCTCCAACAGACAAAAGTAGTTAAGTGTTCTGGCTGGAAAAGGAAATGGAACTGTTCATTTATATCTAATTATAGGATCACGGCATAGAGTGGACAAATATCACGCATGCAAACAGTTCAGATTAATATTAAGTGAAGGCAAATACGTGCAAATTAAAAGCATAATTCTTTACATCTCCTCTAATTAACTGCATTCAGAGAGGTATAAAACAAAGCAGACACAGATCTCTGCGAAGCACAATACAGCACTTTATTATTCAGAAATGCTTAAATGAAAAATACAAAGGGAAATAAAAGATCACAAATTAACATACATACAGTGAGTCATATATTAATGATATAATGTTTACAACACCAAAAGGTGTCAATTCTCTAAAAAGAAAAACTATTCAAGATGCAGCATTCTGTGATGACTGCACTCAGCACAGCATACTACAAAGTACATATCTATGGAATATTTAACTCAGTAAAACTTTTTTTGTGATTTTGAAATAACATTGGAGAAAAATAGTTCTCAGATAACTGAAGTTGCTTTTCAATAGCAGTGGCAAGTTCAGAAATAAAAAATAATCAGGTCCTGTAAAGTGAAAAGGCCTGGGATCAAGTCCTTTCAATTGGCCTTTAATGTTTTGCAAAATACTATGTTGTTCAAAACCCCAACAGTTACTACAGCACTTTCTAGCCATAAGGTAAGTGGACTAATGTTGAATTTATTACATAGCATGTGCACAAGAAAAATAGCAAATATATAATGAATACACAAAAGCAATATGATAAGCCTCCTCAGTATAGTTCTAAAAGACTGTACAAATATACACTAGCTATTCTGGATGACTATAAGAAAAAAATTAGGGCTTTATTTTTTCCAAAATCTAATAATTTATTCTTTAACCAGTCACAACTTTGCCAAAATCTAGAGGCAAATTAAACATGTCAATAAGTAAATAGCTGAAGACATAAAGTAAAATGAAGGCAAAGTTCTTTCCATTTGTTGTACCATTGGTGCAAAATTTGCACTTCAACTTACTTTGTTTTCAAGAACATTTTTAGAAGTTTTCTTAAATTTCCTGCCACTGAACATTATAATACAAAGCAGCTAGACTGGCCTTTTTGGATAGTGGTAAGTCATAACTTCTGGTAAGTCACAACCCCCCAAGGTATAAGGTATAATTCTACTGTATTCAACAATGACTGAATTACGCCTGTTGACTGCTCAGTCCGACGCCTGAAAGTAAACTGTGCACAGACTCAGAGTTCTCCGACATGCTGTCGTTTGATTGTTCCAGCATATTTTCCAGCCTGTCCTCACCTTCACTATCTGCAGTGCTGTTCTGCCACTCAAGGGGTGGATTGGAAAGGCTTTCGTCATCCGTTGAGGTCATTTTCCACACCGATGTGGGATTTCTGGGCCACGTCTTCTCCGTCGTAGGCTGCTGCTCACCTTGGTAGCCATTCTCACTCCGGGAATTTTCTTCATTCCATGGACCATCCTCCAAGTCTGAGGCAGGCTGGGAACCATTCTCGCTGCCAAAATTGGACAATCCATCCTTTCTGCCTCCTTCAACTCCATCGTCCTTTTTGATATCAGGAAGTTCGTCTTCTGAGGTGTAACCATCCTTCAGATCCTCGTCGGAGGCATTCTCTCTCCTCGCGTCTTTCCCTAGCTCACAAAACTGCTCTGTAGTGCGTTCTCCTACCTCTTTTCCCTTGCCGCTATTTCTCGGCCCATCGTTTAGTCCCACTTCACTTGACTTCTCCACCTCGTCCAATGCCACTGCCTCCTTCTCTTCCATTTCAATTTCATCCTGGTCACCTTCTGAGGTACCGTCATCCTTGCTCTGTGCCTGGTCTCCTTCCCCTTCCGATCCACTCTCCGACCCCTCGGCTACAGATCCCGAGTGCTGCGATTTTAAGGTGCTTGTGATTGTCTCATTTTGGTTGCTTTCTGTATTTTGCAGAGGATGGTTTCCTCCAAAACCCGGTTTCGGGGTCACGGCTGTTCCTGTTACTTTGGAATTGTCCACTTTAGATGCTTGTTTGTAGCAACCTGACCGGCTTTGCCCTTCCCCTGCTTCATGAAGACGGCTAACAGAATTCTCTTCCAGTCGCCTGTTGATGGAATCCGCTGACCGGGCTGTGTAGGTTTTTGATGTTCGACTTTCATCTTCATCTTTGCCCTCGAAAAACCATTCTGGATCAAAATCCATTTCATGTTTGAGCTTGTTGACTTCCCTCATATTAAACCCTAAAAGCACAGCTGCTTTTCTTGTCTCACAATCTCTCACGCACTTCCTTCTCCTGTTGGTAAAGTGGCTGGCAATATCAGACTTCCATAACCATAAACTAGCAGCCAGCTTCTCAATCTCCCTTCTAGAAGGGTACGGTTTTTTGTTGAAGTACTTTGTAAGGAATGCTTTTCTAGCTTCATACGAATCATCCTCATGACCCTTAGGATCCAATGCTAAAACTACTGGCTCCTCTGGTTTCTCTACAAATGTTGATGGATAAGAGTCACGGTCGAGTTTTCTTTTTTTCAGAAGACCAGGATCTGAATGCTCAAGTTCTCGTTTGAGAGGAGCTGCGCCTGGAGACTGCGTTCCTCTTATGGTTGCAGTGCCCTTGTCTTGACCATTCTGCGTTTTGCCCACACCTCTGCAGTGGACAAGGTGCAAAGTTATAGTAGAAGCAGTCATGTTACTGGTATACACACCTAGACAGTGGATACACTTGTATGTCAACTTCTTTTCAACAGGATGGACAGTCTGAATCACTTGGTGTCTCTCTCTGAGATGATGAGCCAATGCATCTGAGATCGGACCTTTCAGAATAGAGAAGCACAAAGGACAAAGGGTTTTACCCACATCTTTTTTATAGGGGACTGCAGTTTGAGGTGCGCTTTTCACTGGAGCGTCATGGCTTTCTGGTATTTTGGGTGGCATTTTCTTGCACTGGACTGAAGCATTGTTATTCTGCGCATGGAAGGCTACAGACTCCTCTGGGGCGTCCCTCATATTGTATGTGGTCACAATGAGCTGTATGTTTTTAGGGTTGCTCTGTTGCAAAGTCAGGTCAAAAGTAAGAGGTGAATCAGTTCGTGGTCCCACCACTTCATCTGGGTGGATCAGCCGCATGTGTGCAACCATCTTCTCCACATCATTGAATGTGGCCCGGCAGTGTGGACAACACAGACCGTGAATCAGCATGTGGTTAAGCAAGGTGTCGCTGGGTAGGTAACGATTGCAGTACAGACACTTGCTGGTAAAATTATGGATCTTCATGATATAGTTGGCTACTGCTGGCACCTTCTCGGCTTTGTGCTCTTTTTCAAAATGCGCACTGTAGACATTTTCAGGAAACAGCTCGTTACATATCGTGCAGATCTTCCACTTCTGCGTGTAAGATGTCCCGGCATTGGTGGAGTTCACCGTTTTGGTAGCTGCAGCGACAGCAGTGGCAGACTGAGCTCGAGCTGGAACCTGTGAGGGCTTTGCAGTCGAGGAAGCTAAATTACTACTGGAAGAGTTCCCTGATTGGAAGCTGAGACGGGAAGGAGCCTGGCTTCGTGACTCCGATGCTCCAGCTGTGGAATTGCGAACATTACCCCCAGGTATGTGCTGCTTTACAGTATGAGACTGCTGTGGAACAGACACCTGTGCATTCCCTGGCATGGGGATTCTCATGTGCTGTCCAAGAGAATAACCCTGTGGAATGTTTTTTAATCCATAGGGGTTTTGCTTAATGTGAACATTTGACAGCATTGCTGCAGAATTCAGTCCTGGTTTCGGTATCGCTAACCGACTACTCATCATTGGCTGTGACGAAAGTGATCTTACAGTACTGGGAACTGAAGCTCCTTTCTGAGACAATCCCAAAAGATTCTTGTCTTGCGTTTTTGGAGACAGCAGCATTAAAGGTTTCGATCTGGGCACCACAACATTGGTGTGCCCTATCATAGCTGTTACCTGGTAGCCAATGCGTTCGTGGTCTTCGATAACGTGCTGCACTAAAGCCTCATAGGACTTTGGCATAAACAAACATCGTTTACAATGTATGTTCCCATCATCACGGGCAGTTGCACTCGGATTTACGGCACCATTCAGCGATTTGTCCCCCGTCTTCACTATATAAGGTGCTGCCACATGCTGGAAGTGTTCCCTATAAATGTGTTTGCGAACCACATTGTACAGTGGGTCTCGATAAGTGCATTTTTTACAGTAGTACACAGCCTGCTCTACGCTGTCAGCCGCCTGCTTTGGTTTATGGTTACTATCAAGGCGGGATGTGTCTTTTAGTGTACCAGACCCCCTGACCAGGTGGTTCGTCTGTGGGACATGGAACAACTTAATGTGCGTTTCCAAAGTTTTTTTATTTCCGTTGTAAGTGCAATAAGGGCAGTTAAGCAAGATCCGGCTTTCAAAATCTTCACTGTGGACATTGCGGAAGTGGCTCTTGTAGGCAGAGAAAAACTTGGAAGAGAAGGGACAGCCTGAGCAGCAGAATGGCTTTGACCTGTAGTCCTAGAATGAAAAACAAAACTTTTTTAATTTCCGTTTTAATCATCTCCATCCTACTAGCAACAAGAAAGCAGAAAAGGGTTTTAGAAAAAAAATACCCACTAACCAAAAAAAGCAGCTTGCCTGGCTTATTACATCGACTACTGCCTAAGAAAACTGGATTGGTTAGCTACCATTCCCTTGCAGTTTTGTGTTCTGATGTGCAACCCATATTAACCTAATCCGTCAAGGACAGGGAGCTTTCCATTTAAAAAGTGGATCATATGATTGTATTTCACTGTGTGGGCTGCTTGAATCTGGACCTCTCTCAGTGTTAATTTAGTCACCAGTTTTTGATTTAGACAGTCGGCTAAAATATCTATTGGTCATAAGTCAACCTTTAGTCTCTTTTAATCTAGTTGACTAGATTTTGAATGCAATCACTCTTGCTTTTAGTAGACTAAAACAGAATGCTAGTCACAATTTAGTCATGTAGTTAAGTTACATTTTATTATAAATATTTTAGTTCAGGTTTAGTGTAAAAATAATTCTTTATCTCATTTCATTATAATCTCAGAACATTAATAGGTTCACTCTTTTTTTAATCTACTATTTATTTTAATCGGATAGGATTCTGCTAAGTAAATCTTTCACACGCGATAACATTCTACCAAAAAGCACAAGTCTTTGCTGCACAGTCTAAAGTATATTGATCTCCAAAGAGGTCAAAGATCAAATAAAAGAATTAATTGTGCAATGAAGGGTAAATAATAAATCGTATACAAAGACGTTGTATGAGTCTTTTCTATAAAGAAAATCTACTTTGGCCTTATTAATACTTTCTTACTTTTATGTTTTTTTTTTTAACTGATATTGCTATTAATATATCCAGCTGAGGCCCTTTCCTATACTAAATTTGTAGTACTTTTATAGAAATTACAGCATGACTTAAATAAAATATTAAAACCAGACAAAACATAATATTGTTATTAATAATTATTTTAATAATAACTAATTCATAAAGTCTATCAGTGCAGAGAGCCTGGGTGCTTCACATTTGTAGTTTTTCCAACTTATAACATAGCCACATTGTTTCTCTGCAGCAATGTTTTACAATAGCTTTTCCTTTTTTGCATATCATATATGAAGTATATAGACTCCAGGTCTTTTTCTTTGAGCTAAATCCATGGAACAGTACAAGAAACTATTTATTGGGTTTTCTTGGCTTTTTTCCCCAAATCAAAGTGCCCTAGTTTTCTAATCTAATTAGTACAATGAATAAATCGCATTGCTTATCTAGGTGCCAATCAATTAACACACATAAGGGTTCATGCCATGGGGTGTGAAAGTCCTGCTGTAAATGCGTTACTGCTACAAAATTGGAGAGAAATTGGCACACCTCAATACTTGCAGTTCTTGCACAGTAGTAGCCCTGAGGCACTGTGCGATCCACAACACAGCTACAGGCCAGGGAATATACCCCTTAGTCAGCATGCTGTCTGCCAGACTGAAGGTAAGTGTGTGTACAACATGCAACGAAATTAATTTCAGGCAGAGTTTTAGTCAAAAGCAATTTATTCTTGCCTTAATTTCCTCTAACAAAAATGCAAAGCCTTTTAGTTTTCGTCCCTGCCACTGTGGATTATTTTCATGAGCGTTTTGTCGACCAAAATGGAAAACCAGGCTGTTGACGAACATTTTTGTGACAATTTTCGGCGACGAAATTTACGCTGGTACACACAACCTGACCCCAGTCCTTAACAATTTTGGGTCTTGTGAAGTATTAAACAAGTCTTGGTAGTTCTAAACCACAAAAGCAGAAAAGAAACATGTAGAAATAGGGAAAAAAAATAACAACAACATTTATTACAGAATCAATTGAGAAACTGAATAAGAACGGGAAAGTTTACATACTGTTGAGCCATGAATGAATCAGTAAGTAATCAAAAATATTTTATATAAGGAACAGGAACATTTTATAGAGCTCCTTGGCTCCACTGGATGGGCCCCTATTTTTTTGTTATCATACTTATTTGATTGTAGGTGCTTTTAAGTATCCCTTGCCTAATGTGACGACCATCACTAATTTTATTTGCATATTAAGTGTCCACATTAGTGTGACAGAGATGGGCTTGGAAACACTACTCCTCCCATCCACTGCACTGTGCTCAATTCTCCTGCCTTCACACACGAGCAGAAAACACGAGCCAATGAATAAACTGCACTGGTTTTTAAAAGGATAAATCAACTCATTCAATTTCAGGGGCATGACTTAAAACAGAAGAGATGATGCAAAGGCATTGATGTGAAAAGGTCTGTTAACCCCTTAGGTTGGTCAGTATTCCTGCAGTTTGAAATACAGAACAATTAGATTGTCATGAAGGTATAAATTCAAGATTAGGATAATTTGATTAAGTGTGAAATGCAAAAACATAAGATATTATTGGATTATTTGATGAAGAAAATAAAGACACTCCTGTGAATAGGCATGTGAACCCTTAGATTCAGTAACATTAAGTATCACTACCACTCCTAGGCAGAGTCATCACAGTCTTAATTATTTGCCATTTGTAGACTAACAGTGGATAGATGGAGTCCCAGCTGTTTAGAATTGTACTGTTACCCTCTCTGGACTTGAGCATCAGCTACTCACTCTATCCACTGGATCTCTTTCGATTGCAACACTAACCTGTATGGTGAACACCACACTCTTAATTTCCCCAAAGTTTCAGTTATATTTTAGTGTCTTGGCTTGCAATTCACATCACACACTTCTCCCTTTTAGCTACCTTTCCTACTCCCCAAAATACATTAAGAACATATTCTCCACCTGTTTCTCTGGTTCCAGACTAAAGGGACTAAAAGCATTTAGTGCTTTTATTCTAATGATAAATACCTTTCCGACCAGAACTATCTGATCACTATTTCTTAAGCAAAAATAGTTTTTGCATTAGGAGAGTCAGATCCTGAACAACTGACTGTATTCCAAACCATCAATTACCTATATTACTTGAAGAAAATATCCTGATGTTTTCCTTGACTGTTACAATAGTCTCTTTTCTGCAGGAAACTCTTTAAATCTATAAGGTGCTTTCCCCATGCAAGGGCAACTGTTGTAATAATGAGGCGAAATCTAGACAGGACAAAAATAACATTACTAACCTGGGGTTTTGTTGAAGATGGATCCCACAAACCAACATCCTCCCAGCTTGTGTTCTTCACATAGAAATCATTAGGACCAAACTCTTTAAAATCCTAAATAAATAAAATTAAAGGAATTATAAAGTAGAATACTCATGGAGCAGCTCTCAAAATAAAATACAGCATGATAAAATACAAATATCCCCATACTATTGACTTTGAAAGGTGACTATTGAGAAAGGCTCAATTTGCATCAGCTTCCACCACCAATACCATTACATCTGGTATATGTCCTCAGGGATGGAAAATGATTGCCTTTTTGGGTGAAATTCTGGTCCAAAGAAGTACATAAATTATTACAGTAGAACATTCACAGGTAACTAGAAGACACATGCTCTATTAAGTTGGTACAGTGGTCATACTGGAATGCAAAATAAAATGTTTCATTTTAAAAATCTATTCAAAGCTAGAGTATAGGGCAAAGGATTTGTGAGAAAAGTATAAGTGCAAAGTAACATTATTCTCTTCACTCCCAAGCCCTCCATTTATGAATTGTTTCCAATTGTTTTATGCAGAAAATATGCAGTGTACTGCTTCTGTGTGAAAGTTGTTTTTTAACCTGGCTTCACCCTGGACTGAACAACACTGAAAGTTACAGCTAAGTCAAAAAGTTAATAAGGGGAAGGCAACTGGGACCAACTTCACTGCTTAGCAGCCACAGTCTATGAGCCAGCAGCCAAGATCTGAAGAACAGTGTAGCATTCTTTCTGTGCATAGAAGCAACATCAGGGACACATTCCCAAAATTCCCTGACCTTCAATAAAACAGTGACTAAAAAAAAAAAAGTCGTGACAGCACTGAACAATAGAATCTCACTCTTCCAAATTTTATTATAAAAAGACAAAAATACAAACTGACATTTCACCACAAAGTCTGAAAAGCAGTCTTTTTATATAAAAATAAATGAAAGGTGAACAAAAATGGCTCATACTTTTAGGTTCTTTAATCACTATTATACACAGGTAATTTTTCAACAGAAATATTAATACCTTTCTTTGGATAACCTTTAGCAAATAAGATTTACCACAGTTACCTTCTGTTTTCCACTGTTAAATAACTAATTTTAATAAAATCTATTGCACATAGTGATGGTGGGCAACTGTATTTTAATAATAAAATTTGTTAGAATTCATAGCTTATCTGAGGATATCTAAATATGAACAACAATGGATAAGACAATAACCACACAATCGTTTGACAGAGTAGAAATCCTTTCTCTCTGGAAGAGAAGTCACAATTTAGAAAAAAATCTGTTTTTCTTAGATGCATTCCCTACTTCTTTTCTCCTGAAAAAAAAATGTCTGGCTATAAAAACAAGTCCAGCAATCCCTTCCCAAAAAAGAAATTAAACTGCCGACAATCCACAAAAATAAGGAAGTGACCCACTCTAATTCCTCTAAAACACTGTGTCAATGGTAAATTACAGCCCTTCAGTGAACATTAAAAATGTGGATTAAATTTTTTCCCAAATAATATGCATTTAAAATGTACGAATCAATGCTCATGAAAGTGCCCCCCCTCAGATTAGGTGTCTTTTGTATAGTTTTCACCTCCTTACACTTAACATTGACTGTTTCTTTCTAATGCAGCACAAAATGTATTTCAAACTGTACAACAAATGACAGTCTCAATTCTGGCATATATGGCTATAATAAAGATTGTGGAAATAACCTTAGTGCTTAAATGTGAAACAACAAGCAATTTAATATTTTGTACAGGGAAGTACATTTTTCCACACACCTTTTGTTGCAGTATTGTTATGAGCTTGTGGACTATGTGTCTTGTCTGAATGAACACCAAAGGTTTTTCTTCTAAAAGAAAAGCTAGGCATACAGAAGTCTTTTAATGTTCAGACGCCTCTTTCAATCTAAATGTTAGTGTTAAACAATCAAAATAATGACATGGGCTAAAATGACTTTAAATATTGCTAAAAATAATAGGCAAGTGAAAATGTTCATTTCAACAATAAATGAATTAACACAGGGTTTAAACATTAAGTCAGATAAACAGAGTTAAAGCCCTTCTTAAGTGCACTGCATCTATAAGATAAAACCATTTCCATTAAGTTTCCTTTTGTGTTTACACAGCTTAAGTGCATGTCCCTGCTGCCCTGTACTTCAGGCCTATACTATATGTATGTATGTTAGGGACAGCTCATCCCTGGATTCAAGTTAAGGAGGACTGTGAGAGACTACAGCCCATATCCGAAGACACAGTAGAACAAAAATATTTTGGAGAAGAAGTGAAATATTTCAGGAAAGCCATATGAAAGAACTGCAGTATTAATATTTGTGTTCAGTTTTTCTATCAGGGTATACCTAATTATACTGTTGTCAGGCAAGTTAACTCAGATCTCTCAGAAGCTGTGATGTACAGATTATCTAAGAGTGAAAAGGAACTCCATAGCTATAAAACCTCTGTATTTCAACAAATGACACTTTGTAAAGTGTATAAAGTATCAGCTGTGTTTTTAAGGGGAAAAAGTAAACAAACTGTTCTCTGGGTCAAAGTTGCAAAGGGAAACCTCAGACACAGAAGTACTACAATGTAATGAGATTGTTGCTGGCAGCTCTGCTGTATTACTTTATCTTAAGAACAAGAGCTGCAAATCACAAACCCCATGTATTGAATTTCATGAGAAATAGGTTCATAGTCAGATACACTACAAACTGTTGTGCAACGTGTATACTGTTAGCCTTCAAGCAAAAATAGTTAAGGTTCAAAGACCGTGAACCAGCACCTCCATTTCGTGCATTCTTGTTGCACCAAATGGGATTAAGCTGTGAAGATCTCCCTGCTCTAACGTATAACCATGAGAAAACAAACAGACAGATCCTAGTATAACTCAAAATATGCAGTAGAGAATTAGTTTTTGGGATCTTATCCCACAGAAAAACAGAATAGAACTACTTACTTCAAGGTGCTCCTTACAGTACTCCAAGCCTATGTCACTCAGAACCTTCTTTACGGTTTTTCGGGCCTTTCGCAAGCTGCCAAGGTTATTGACTGGAAGCTGAAACATAGTTTCTACCTGGAACCAAAAGAAACAAACACCATGAATAAACTGGTAACTGCAAAGTAAAAATAATTCAGTAACCAGGAGTCAACCAGTCGGTGAAGAAATTCACTGCAACAACTCCGCATTTCATACAATTAACCTTCAGTGGTGATTCAGAAAAGTGAAGAAAGCTTGGATACTTATTTTTAAAATCTCCTTTAGGCAGTGAATTGAAATTCCATTAAGGCTTTTACAAGAGATTACAATTACAAATAAGTGAATACTATAGTCATGTATTAAGGTAAAGGACACAAAATATCCAATGCTATAAAAGAGTGAAAATACAATAAGCTTTTGTACAAAATCTTGTAAGTTCTTATTCCAGCTGTATTTCGTCACTTTTTGGTAAATCTGCAGTATTTTCATAATGTTTATAACATTTCTAGTCAAAACCATATCAACATTTTGTTGATTTTTGAAAACTTCAATAAATTCAATCTGGTTCACTTCAACATATTATATTAAAACCTGATGTATCGCCCAGAAACATTTGCAAGATATTTTGCTCAGAGCTTGCTTTGTTGTCTCTAAAACTGTGATTTCTTGTAATAATAATATCCACCCTTTTTGCTTGCAAATGTTTACATGCTCACATGCAAATGTCAAGGTCATATGCCAAGAGTTAATAGGCCTACTTGCACTAATTGTAATAAGACTGATATTGAAGATCTCATGGGAATCCGACTCATAATAGTTTCAAACACAAAGTGTTAACTGCCAAAAATGTTCTTCATAGGGAAGTTAAAAAAGCCACTTTGTAATTGCAATGCCTGAGTACATGTGAAATCACAGGATGTAAAATGACAACCACCATTCTGGTCTGTCAGTTTGATGAAATAAATGTCTCATACTAATCGCGTTAAAACATTTTTTAAAACAAGGATGTTTTGCTCAAAATATTTGAAGAGACAGGGAACAGTACCCTTTAATCATTTTTGGGAAAAATGAAAAAATAAATCACAACTTAAGGTACGTAAACTGTGGTACACATGCCAGTTATGTTATTTCAAAAGAAAACTAGCTAGCCGAAATACAAATAACTCTGATCAAATAACTGAGCTTCTTAGAATAGTGAGGACAGCTTGATCAGGCTGCAGTGTGTATTCCACAAGGTTTTAAGGTATCTGCAGCCCAATTCCATCCCTTCCTTCTGGCAATCAAGGTTATGATGAGTGTAATGGTGTGTGGGACTGACCTGCATGATTCACCAATTCCACCAGTATTCAACAGGACTGAAGTTTGCGATTGATCGAGCCAAGGAAGGAGATGGAAATCTCTTTGCATGCGCTATAATTCAATCATGCATTGCCTACCACAGAGGAAATTATTTTGACTTGAATTAAATTTGACTTGTCCAAATATTTTGTCCTCCGAGTGTACAGTAGTGGAATTGTATAAAGATTAAACTTTCACTGACTGAATGTAAAGTCTACAATTCAACTGAATTTTTAATGCAAATTGTACCGCTTTATTTACGTTGAGAGACAAGGCATCTGTAGACATACAAGGGGTTTATCATCTAACATCAATATCCTGTGAATTCACCTGACATACAGCACTCGATGAAGCTAACTTAGAAGTGATTTGAAGCCACTATCATAAAGATCTGGTTTCTTATAGACCTGGAAATGAAAACACCAATTATATTATGATTCATAACATCTGAAACCACTTTACGATGCCAACCAAAAAGAAAAAAAGCACCGAAGGGGTGCAGTAATACAATTTTCATATTGTAATGTTTCCAGCATATTACAAGCATAAAGACATTCATGCAAGCAGTGCCCAGAAACAGGACGAAGGAACTGGCTCAGTGCTTTACAAACATTCAATCATATTTCAAAAGACTGGCAAATTAAACTCGGTATACTTGACCTTATATGCGTGACATTAAAAAAAATACAATTTTTAAAAATAATCAAGTTATACAATAAAAGAGTCAGAGTAAGTCAACAGTTTTACCCAATTACTTGAGAAGTAACAGCAACCTGAATACGTGAAGCACAAAAAAACATTTGTAGGACGCTCTAAAAACACATTTCTAAATCTGGGCACCTTACTGGATGTGTGGTTTTGCCTTTATAAAAATCAAAGGGAATTCATTTGTAAAAGTCACTTATCCAAGCATACTTGCAATTAAATCAAAGCATGCATATTAACCCTTTCCTGGATTTCCAGTTCTGGGTCTCTCTATGCCCTTAACCTCAATATCAGTGAAAAACTATGTTGTGGTGGACAGTTTAGACAGGAGCAACACATAGGTAAAATGACAAAGCAGGCAAATAATAGTGGGATTTTTTTGGGGAAAAGGATAACTGAAACATTTTGTGCAACTACAAAAAGCAAATTAATTCCTTACATTATTGGTACTATAAATTATATGGTATATTTCACTTTGGTTTATACCATATTCCTTTTAAAAGTCAGTATTTCCAAAATTCTCCTTTATAATGCCTGACGTTAACAAGTACCATTTAAAACTGGCACAAACCTGTCAGACACCTTGATGATAAAATGCTGTCATGCATGTTCTCAGTTTGTGATTCTTAAGAGTGTCCAATGATCTGCCTGCTGTCTTTCCATTTTCTAACCATGTCACCCATATTGGAGTCACAGGGGACCAGCAGGTACAAGGCAGGGCACAACCTGGACAACCTGGATGGATGCCAGTCCATCGCAGAACACACAAACACACACACTCACACCAGGGGCAATGTTCCCAGAAGCCAACTAACCTAACCTTCGGCCTGTGGGGAGAAACCCTCTCGAACAGGGAGAGAACACACAGACAGCACCCCAGGAATCGAACCCAGGGCCCCATCCCTCCGCCACCATCTTTCTGCCATTTGGAAGGAAATCATATCTGTGCTGATTTTGCACGGCCATGTTTTTGGGACAATGCTAAATCAATGACATGACATTCAGTCAGGCCAAATGATTGACTCCACATGAATATCATGACACAGGGTCTACTGCCAAACAATACATATGAGCATCCAAAGAACTTTGTACATCACTGCATCTTGGCTTCTAAAGGGACAAGATTTTATATATTAGAGATATTATATGCAGTTAAATCAAAGTATATAAATTTCATATAAACAGAAGTAAATACCAGTTACACTTATTATAAATTGTGGCAGACAACTGTTATACATTAAGTAAAATTACTTTCTATTTAACACAATTACCAGACAAAAAATGCATAGCAATGAATTCCAACTTTAACAACCATTAGCCCTAAGCAATCTGGCTATAAGCCATTTCAATTTGCCATTATACAAGAAAAGTGGCTCAGGTTCCAAATCCAATTTACAATTTCACTCTGAACCCAGTATCCATGTAGGTGGTCTGTGCTGAACAACTTGGGTTTGTTCTGCAGCAGCTAGAACTACGCAATCCTTTACAACAGGAAAGATTTTTATTCAGCTGTAATACAGACAGTGAACACTGCTGTTGATAAGGAAAAGGCAGTTTCAGACCAAGCCCAAGAGTTTTGGATGTTCGGGACAAGCTGCTCTAAGCTCTCTGTTGAACCTTCTACCCCGGCTTCTTTCAAGAATGGATGAGCTCCACAGGTCAAGAAACTAGTGACCAAAGAATGGAGGTGTGACGCATGGCCTGTTAACTTTTCTGATGTTCTGACTACAAGGCGCCACGCCTAGTAATAACACATGTAGTGACAGCATTAACATGATCAAAACGCAATCTGTGTAACACCACATCTAATTAGTTTGCAAACGAAAGGACATGAGTTTAAAAACCAAGAGGTTCTTCAGGTCCGTCTATCTGTAATTAAAACAGTCACGTGATTTAAGAGTGCGTTCTGAGTACTGTAGCCCAGCTGACAGTGGCTCAAGCCCAGGAGTCCTCACGATGAGGCAAGCATTCGGTGCTGAACTCCGAGTCAGACCGACTCACTGTTCCCTGGCAAACCGAGGACATCTGGACTCCCGGGACCTGCCAGGCACCTGCAAGCTTCTGCAGCCAGCGCACCCTCCCCTGCAAAGCTTGCGGAGTGTCATATGGCAAAGGGCTTTAACAGGCAGGGGTGAGCTGGAGCTTACTCACAGGCCCAGGCAAGACGTACTGCAGGAACTCAAGCGGATAACCAATGGCACACAGGAGGAGCCTACAGCAGAAAATAATTGGCGATTTCCACGTTTGCCAAACACAGAAAAACAAAATGCAGCCAGATGCAACATTAACGCAAACCCTACCACGTGCCACTGATACATTCGAGTTCTTTCACATGACAAATTTCACTAAATAGAGAGAAAAGGCTACACAAAGCAGTGTGGATCTTACACGTGTACTTTAAATTAAGTTAATGGAGTAATTAGGTAAACACGCACATATCATTCCAGAAACAGTACTTCTGTTAACTGCAGTACTCATTAATTACATGCACTAAATGTGCACCTACTCATTTGAGAGAATACTGTACTTGGAAATTGTGGTTGGGACTGAATACAAATTGCAATTAACCCATTAGCTTAACCAAACATTCCAAACCAAACACTTCATGGTGGCTTTCCTTTCAGTTAATGCAAGATGCTTTTGTAAAGCAAAGATCTGGTTACACGCATCAACTGCCCAGTTTGGTCACAATTAGGCATGCATACACAAACCCACATCAGAACCACTCCAAAGAGGACTAGACTAGAAATACTGCTTCAGATAAGGCACTGTCTGTTCCAGTTGAAATTATTTTACACATTCTAAATAAGGTTTAATATCCCAGTATTGGGTTGGTATCAAGGTATGATCCCCCTATTCATAAAATAAGGAACTGTCAGAGGTGCCTACTGTCCAAAGACTGGGAATGGACATCAACAAAGCACAAAGATGACAGATTACCTTCCAATGGTAATATCAGATTATTATAGAATACAGGTGAGGTCATCAACACAAAACATCTCTGACCGCCCCATTTCTGCACCAGTGATGAGCCACAAAAGCCCTCGACAGGA